TTTCCCTAAAAGGCAGTGCTGGCTGTGCCCACTTGTCCTTCCCGAGGGATCCCACTAACGGGCTCTTTCCCCTCGCTGTCCAGAATAGAGCCGTAGCTCCGTTTGTCCCAAGTCAGTAAACGCCATGACAGCCAGGCTGGAGCGTGGCTGCGACTCCTCCCTTGGTAGCTGCTGTCCCGCCGGCAGGGGTTGGGTCATCCTGCCACAGGTTGTCAGTATGCTGGATTAAATCTGCTGTGTTCAGCCCACACATGTGGGGTGGAAGGGACTGTCGCACTGTATAGTCTGACTTCCCTCAGTACCATAGGCCATAGGACTTGAGCGAGTTACTTGAGAGAGGCAACCTGGGCATGTAACAGCCCAGGTGAAAACCAAACCCCCAGACAGCGGGGCTGTGGGGGGCGTTCCCTCCCTGAGCAGCGAGGCCTGCCCTGCTCGAGGTCTCTTGGATGGTGCCCTGGTGATTGTTAGCAAACACCTGACCAGGTTTCGTCCTTCGTTCACACCCAACTCCCTCCCCTGCTGTGCCCCTGCTCGCTGCCATTTCCATATGCGGGGCAACATCCGGCTCTTCCTCGTGGGGTTCCCGTCACAGAACGGATGGGGCTGGACGCAGCTGAGCGCGCTCTGTCTCTCCTCCATTCCAGGTTGCCACCTTTATTCTTCAGAAGATCCTCTTGGACGACACCGGCCTGGCTTACATCTGCCAGACCTATGAGCGGTTTTCTCACGTCGCCATGATATTGGTAGGACTGGCTGGCCGGCCCTTTCCCTTTGCTCACCTCTCTCTGCTCCAGCCACAGGGTGGTACGATTAGCCAAGTCCCTCAAGGGCAAGCCACTGCCATCGACTGGCTGGACGAAGTGTCAGAAGATCCATTATTTTTAGCAGGTTGCAAGTTGAGGTTGGATATTAAGAAAAGTTTTCTCACGAGGAGGGTGGTGAAGCACTGGAACAGGCTACCCAGAGAGGTGGTGGAGTCTGCATCCTTGGAGGTTTTAAGACTTGGGTAGACAAAGCCTTGGCTGGGATGATGCAGTTGGGGCTGGTCCTGCTTGGAGCAGGGGGTTGGACTAGATGGGACCTCCTGAGGTCCCTTCCAGCCCCCATTTTCTATGGTTCTGGGATTGATTCTGAGAGCACAGACTGCCTTCCCCCGGGTCTGGCCTGGCGTGGGTCAGCAAAACTTGCCATGTCCAAGGTGACTGCGAAGGTGGCAGGTTTAGACTCTTTGCGAGGTGCCTGGCTTTCTGCCAGTCTCTTTGATTCAGTGCTAGCGCTTGGCAGGGTACGTGGGGTTTGAACTGGCCGCTGGAGCACCAAGGGGCTGTCGGCAGGCGCTGGAGGAGGTGCATCTGGGTGTCGGTACCAGGCCGCAAGCTGCTTGGTGTTTCTGGCCTTGTACAGAATTCAGTTTCCCCTTGGAGAGAGTCCTGGTTTCTCCCGGGAGAGCAGTGAATGTCCTGGCATTCAGGCTTTTTCTCTCAAAGTAACAGTGCCTGCTCCAGGAGAGAAATAACCTGGGAACAACCAGGGTTAAATCCCTCCCAGGAGAAATTCTCCCAGGAGGGCAAACTGTCTGCATGGGCTGTCATTCGGCTCAAGGGAAGCTGGTGGGTCTGGGTGAGACACCAGGCCCAGGTGTGTAACGCAGCAGTGGGGGGAATGATTAGGCCCTGGGTTGGGGAAACCTGGGGCTCCGTCCTTCAGAGCTGGCTGGTGCCTTTTGGGGAGATGTTTAACCAGGGGTGGATCTGGAGGCCCCCCTACCTCCCACCTTTCTGACCATGCAGCTGGAGCAACAGCCAGGGATTTCAGTCTTAAAGGCGGCAAGAGCGTTTTCCCCCTGCTTTCCCCTCTGTGCTCAAAGGCACCTCCCCTGCCTGCTGCTGGGACAGGACCTGTGGGATGGGGAGCTCCTGCGTGCTCCAGCTGCACTACACAGGGGCTGCACTTGGCCCGGGACATGGCAGCTCCCCTCCCTGCCAGCCTGGGAGCAGGCACGGGGAGGGGGAATATGCCCCCTGGCCACTGCCTTGCTGAGCAGCGCAGCTGGCAGTGACAGGCAGGAGGGGGTGGTGGGAAGTGAAGGGAAGGGGCTCTGCCTCTGAGCAGAGGGACAGGGCAGTGCTTGCACTGGTGTCCTTGCCAGTTGTCTGCCCCAGTTGCGGGGGGCAAGGGAAGGAGGCTGGAAGCTGGGCACAGCCCCTCCCTGCAAACCGCACCCTGCTTTGTAACACCCTGGATCCATTTTTGCCAATGCCCGAGCCTGCTACAGGGTCCAGGGTGAAGGGGAGGAGCCGGGCAGCCCCGTCCCGGCTGGCAGCCCCTGACAGTCCCTCTGCCTTCCGACCCGCAGGGCAAGATGGTGCTGCAGCTCTCCAAGGAGCCCTCGGCGCGGCTGCTGAAGCATGTGGTGCGCTGCTACCTGCGTCTCTCCGACAACCCCAGGTAAACATCTTAGGAGTTTGGGGGCTGGGGCCGTCTCAATGCACTGCTGGGCATGGGGCCAGGGCCACACGTCTCCTTCCAAATCCACGTCCGCCTTTCTGTGCCTGGGACCCCCCTGGACTCGCCCAGCTCTCCCGAGGGCATCGCTGCCTGTCCCGGCTCTGCACGACGTGGCCCATCCCTGGAAGGCAGGTGCCAGGGCAGGATGCCAGCTCCCTCTGCTGCCGAGGTCCTGGCTCTGCTGGGCTCAGTCCCAGGCCCAAGAGCCGGGTGTTGTGTGTCCTCGGCACGTTGCCAAGTGCTGGCGAGACAGTTGCGTGGTCCAGGCAGTGCAGCAAGCATCCCGGGAGCGGGGTTGGTCCCCCCCTTCTCGCCAGTGCGGGTTTATTTGTTGGTCCCCCTGTTTCTCGTCTCCTGGTGTAGGGCACGTGAAGCCCTCAGGCAGTGCCTTCCCGACCAGCTGAAGGACACCACCTTCGCCCAGGTCCTCAAGGACGACACCACCACCAAGCGCTGGCTGGCTCAGCTGGTCAAGAACCTGCAGGAGGGGCAGGTCACCGACCCGCGGGGCATCCCCCTGCCTCCGCAGTGACCGCCGGGCGCCCGCGAGGAAACAGCTCAGGGTTCCACACCTCCAAGAATCGCCCCCGCCCACCCGCCCGCCTGCCCCCGGCGCTCCCGACACCAGCAGGCTCTGCGACACGGGGTGAGCGAGATCCCTTCCATGCCGGGGTACCCGGCGGGCTGCGGCGGCAGCCGTGGGCACAAGGCCTTCCCGCCCGGGCTGCGTCCCACCCTTGTCGCTCGCTGTTTACAGGCCTGAGAGATGAGCAAGCTCAATAAAAGCCCAGCTTGTTTTAGCCCCTCGTTGGCCTGCCTGACCGCGCCGGGGCCCAGGGTCTCGGCTCTGGGATGCCCTCCACGGAGACAGAGGTGGAGGGAGCTCTGTGCTGCTGCAGGGCCGCATGTCCCTCTTAGCTTGGCACTCATCCACTTTCAGAGCCCCGGTCTCTAGCTCCGGCCCTCTCCACGGCTGTGGTCCAGACATGGCTTGGGCAAGGGCCACAAGGCGGGAGAGCGCAGCTCCAGGTGCCGCGAGGTGCTGGTCTCCCTCTGGCCCCGTTCCAGCCGGTCTCTGCCACCCAGTGCCTCCATCCCGCGGGGCAAACCTGCCCCTCGCCTGCCTCAGCCCAGCAGCCACTCGCCGCCACGGGAGCTGGATGCAGGATGGGCCGGAGGCTGAGGCTGGGCCTCTGCCCCCATGCAGCGGTTGGTGGCTGCCTGAGCCATCTGGCCCCTCCTCAGCCCTTCCCATGGCTCTCCTGCCCCTGGGTGCTGGGCTTCAATGTGGCTGGACCTTGGTTCCCCTCATGCTCTCTGGGCCTGACGTGGCTCGGCTGTGGCCCCAGTGCTGTGATTCCACCCAGCCGTGGCCCTTGGGTCTGGGCCGTGGCAGTGACGTGGCCACCCAGTCTGTGACGCCGGGGTCTAGTGCTGTGCTGTTGGACTGGACCCCTTCCCCAGCAGCACGCCCGGGCCCTGCGAGCTCGTATCCTTCTCCAAGGCCAAGGCCTGGAAGCTCAAGGAGGCGGCTGAGGAGTGAAGGGCAGGGGGGAAGCCATAGACGGTGACCCAGTTTCCTGTGGGGGGGCTGGCAAGCTCAGTGCAGCCCTGGCCCTAGGGCAGGAAGGTGGTAAGAGTCTGCTCCAGCCCCCACCCTGTACTGTACATAAAGCCGGGGCTCTCGTGCCCCCAGGGACAACATGGGGGTGAGGGCAGTGAACGTGGCCAGTCTGAGCTGGCAGGATGGGGGGGAGCTCTGGCCATAGGGGGGCGCGGGGGCTCCCATAGGCTGGGGGGGTACTAG